GTGTGCTCTTCCGATCTCCCCAAAACCCCAAAACCCCAAAACCCCGTAAGTAGAATTATGCTAAATTGAAAGGGAAATATTATTGATGATAAATACGGAATTTAACATTGCAAAAATTTATCTGATTCTTAGAAAGCTGAGTCTGCTTATTTGAAAAGTTTTTTCTAGGGATATTCTTTCTGATACTCAGTGATCATTTTCTGTTATATTTGCTGGGTCTTTTTGAATGACAGTAATTTCGTTGTTTAAGAACTTAGTCATCATTATTTTAAACTCATCGTAAGAGATCACGCCATCTCCATTAATATCTACTTCTTTGATAATGTCTTCCCAGACTTTATCATTACCGAACTTCTTTCCTACTCCAAGGACATCTTTTATCTCGGTTGCAGATATCGAGCCACTGCCATCCTATAATTATGTTTAAACCTGGTAGAAAATTAGATATAATACTTTATCGAAGAGCTTAAAAGCATTCTAAAGTTTTTCTTCCTGGAGTACATCGTACTTATTAATGGTAGCTATTTGCCACTCAGAATAGTCAATCTCTCCATTACCATCAGCATCTGCAATCTTGAATAATCTATCAGCTTCTTCTATTATAGCTTCCTCCGACATATGCTCATAGATTTTCTTATAGCCATCAATGAGCTCTTCTCTCGAAATCTTGCCATCTGAATTTTTATCAAGTGCTTTAAATGATTGATAGAGTCTATCTTGTTCCTCTTTGTTTGATAACTGGCAAACAATGAAAGTTAAAGCAGCTTGTTGAAGTTTTTATTCAGCCTATTAAATGTAAGTTATTGAGATTTTTTACTCTGAATTTTTATAGATTTTATAAAGCCTCACTTGTTGCTTCAAATGACTTTAGGTCTTGAAGCTCTGGAGCTTTGTGTAGAATCCATGGATCTTGTAAAGCTTATTCAGCAGTTAGTCTTTCATTTGGGTCCACATTCATGAGTTTTGAAATGAATTACTTTGCTAAATTTGATCTGTTTTTCCAAGCAGGCCCTAAATACAAAATGAAACAATTTGATTATTTTACTTGTGAAGTAATATTTTCCAGCCTTTACTTTTTTGATTATTTCAGCATCCGAGTTTCCTGGGAAAGGTGGCTCTCCACTGAGAAGAATATACAAAATAACTCCTATGCTCCATATATCACACTTCTGGTCATATTTGCCTAGAAGCACTTCAGGGGCTATGTAATAAGCTGTTCCGAGGACAAGTTCCATCTTCTCTTCACTTGCATAGACTTATGAAGTTCCAAAATCAATTACTTTGATTGTCATATTTTCGCTGTCATCAATTAGGAGATTTTCTGGTTTTAAATCTCTGTGGCATACACTCTTTTTATGGCAATAATTTATTGCAGATAGCAGTTGCTTTAATATGTGCGCTGCATCTTTTTCTTCGAATTTGCCTCTTGAAACAATCTCATCGAACAACTCACCACCCTGGCAAAGTTCTGTAACCAAGTAATACTGCTTTTTGTCTTCGAATACTTCATATAGACGAAGGATATTTGGATGATCCAAGTTCTTTAATATCTCGATTTCATACTGCAATCTAATATGCTCTTATTTCTGTATGTTCAACTTCTTCATAATCTTAACTGCTCTCTATTACTTAGAAACCTTATGCTAGCATTTTTAAACATAACCATAGCCACCTAATAGTTAAGGTCATAATAAAAAATTTTGTCAATACCTGATCCTAAAACATTTTCGTCCAGAATGTATACATCAGAGAACTTGCTTGACTTATCATGCTATTTAATGAATACTCCTTTGTTCACTTTAAGATCTTCCTTTTTGTTTACTTCTTCAGTCCTAGTCATTGTTTTGAACTTCTATTATTGATTGATATAAGAAAACGCTATTTCTATTGCTATAATTACCTCATCCTTAGATTTTTTATCTGTTTGTGAAAAGCATGCTCCCATTATTCGAAGTTGATTGAAATAAATATAATTTTGATAGTTTATTTCTCCACTTGATAACTGTAAGAATTTTTCACGTCGGGGTTTTGGGGTTTTGGGGTTTTGGGGTTTTGGGG